AAGGAAGGAAGGAAGGAAGGAAGGAAGGAAGGAAGGAAGGAAGGAAGGAAGGAAGGAAGGAAGGAGGAAGAAGCAAGAAAAGAGGAAGGCCAAGAAATAAAAATGGAAAGGCAGTTAGAGAAGCGCAAAAACTGCAGTAGAGACATACTTGAGAATCTATTAAAACAAGAGAAGCAATACGCGGATTCCTTTCAAGAAAATGCCTTATCCTGGTGTTAGATTGGAAGCAACTAGAGCCCCCCCCAAAAGCTTTTGATTACCGAATAATGCAGTTTCCCCATTTTCTCTTCTAACAGGAGAGGCTTAGAGGGGACACCATTCCAGGGTGTTCAGAAGGAAGGGGAGTGGGGAGAGCAAGGGAAGAAAGCAGCACAAGGAGGTTACTGGGAAGAAGCTGCTTCCTCTGGCAGGTCTTCTAATTCCAGTCAAGGAGTTCCCCTCCTGAGCAAGGGGGCAGCCCCCGTGCCTTTGCTGGGTTGGAAGCAAAACTGTCCGCTGAGGGTTTGGGGGATTCAAAGGTCTGCTACCAATCAGCCCAGACAACAGACTGGTCCTCACTGAGGGTGCACTTGGCTGAAAGCTCTTTATTTTAAAAACAAATCTGTCTGCTTAAAAAAGCAGCAGGTCAAGGAGAAGGATCTTCGCTTCCAAATGACGCAGCCTTTTTACACTCTGCTGTATTGTTGTACGAAGGCACATTTAAACCCTGTCAGCCTGGCAACTCTTGGGGGTAAAGACAGGGTCCAACCAGCCCCCTCCTCCCAAAGGTGGGCTTATTTCTGTCCACCTAGATCCACAACCATTTTGGGGTGACGGAAGATGCCTCCAAGCAGATGTTACTTTAAGGGAAATGCCCTCTGCTATTCATGAAATTCCTCCAATATACTCTGGAGCAGAAGACCCCCCCCCCGAATTGCTCCAACCTTCACATTACATGGCGAGAAGTCTGAACAGGGGGAGGAAGGGAAGGGAACGAGGACATTTCAAGCTGGAAAATCCAACTTTCCTTCCTTCCTGATCAGGACCAAAGCAACACACTTCTTCCTCCTGATTAAGAGAGTCAGGATATAGGTAATCCTCAACTTATGATCACAATTGGGACCAGAACTTCCATCGTTCAGCAATGTGGCTGTTAAGTAAGTCATGCCCTATTTTACGGCCTTTTTTGCTATGATCGTTAAGTGAATCCAGATTCCCCCATTGACTTTATTTGTTTGAAGCCCCCCAGGAAGGTTGCAAATGGCAATCGTGTGACCCCGAGATGTTGCAAATGTCATAAATACAAGCCGGTTGCCAAGTGCTAGAATTTTGATCACGTGACTGTGGGGACATTGCGACGGTCGTAAGTGTGAGGACCGGTCGTGAGTCACTTTTTTCAGTGCTGTCGTAACTTCAAACGGTTGTTAAATGAATGGTGGTAAGTCAAGGACTACCTGTATTTCCAAGATTACCCAATTTCGCTACATGGGCCAAAATGGGATTAGCTCTGGATTCTGCTTCATATGGCCTGCAAACAAATCTGCTAATCCATGGAGCTGGGAGGGGGAACCTGTGGGGTTATTCAACTACAACTCCCAGCAGCCTCTGGAAGTTTGGCCAATGGGGAGAAGTCTTGGGAGTTGAAGTTTGGCCCCATGCCCCAGTTCCCTGTCTTGCTGAACGGGTTGCAGCTAATCCCAGCGCCTGCACATCTGAATCTGAGTAGAGATTCAGTCCAAACTGGACCAATATCTTCTTTTCAGGTCCTCAGAAGAGCAAAGAAAAGAGGCTTCTATTTTATAGCCTCAAGAAAGCCTTCTCAGGGGGCTGGAGACTCTCTCGGGGGTGGTCTTCCAGCCACTGTATTGCTGACAAGCGATGTTTCCTTTGGGGTTCAGAGGGAGTCAGAGCTGCAGGCGGTGGGAGAGAGGACTGTGCAGCGAAAACGGTTCGCACATGCAGAACGCGGCCAGCTCCTCACTGCACCGGCGCCCAAAGGCCACGTTCTGCCATAAACGTTTCTCCATTCTTTTTTCCCCCCTGAGAAGGCCTTTCCAAGCAA